AAGATCTTTGAAGTTAACTTAGTCATTCATTCATTCGTTCATTCATTATGTCCACTTTTGTCTACAATACTACAAATATTTCCATGGTGAAAGCATTTGCTGGTGACATTACCATTGCCCAGGGGCTGCCCTGTCTATAGTTATCTCCAATTTCTCTGTCCCCTGGTTTCTTTTGGCATATCAAGAATATTTAGAAAAGGAAGTGGTTTGGGATTATATTTATTTTGTTTCATTTAAATATTTCTGAAGCATATAATACACTTAGAGAAGGACCGACATGTTAACTCATGCTTGCCTGGAATAAAGGAGGAGAAATAAGAGAATTTCTTGCTTAAACATCCACCGAGAGATGAGATGCAGGCAGTGCCATCCGCAGGGTCTGTGTGTCAAGATGTGTCAGTCTTTCCAGATAAACCAGATAGGAAATGTGACTGGATGAGCTAATTTTACTTTATTGTAAGGCTCCATTAACCAAAATTGTGCATGTCTGAAGGTACAAACTTCCTACCACTAGTTTTAACTGCGTGATCAATTAGGGCAAGATTGTTAAACCACTGGGAGCTCCTGTCTGTTTTGGCTAGATGTGTTTCCTAGGTAGCATCTCTTCCCCTTGTTCTCCAAGGTCATCCACATATAATATTGCAAGATTATACTACGTGACTATGCAATCAAAGCCCCTGCCCTTAGTACAAACATAGAAAAAGTGGGACGGGGGGGGGGACTTAATTCATACAGTTGCAGTTGCCATCTTTGATTTTTTTATTTCTCCTTTGGAAACCATGATCTGGTATCCTATTGAAATAATAACAACAACAGTTAGGCCATACATCAATAGGCCTTTTGGCACATTGATGTATGTTGCAGTTATCCACTGCAACTCTGAAATTCCTTATATATTCATCTGTATATGTTGTGTATGTGTGTGTTTTGCACCAACAGAGTTTAACTAGTTAATAAATGTGTGTAGAGGTGGTGCGCAATTTACTACCACAGTTGGGACTGGAATTTTGGTCATAAGTCGAGGTATCACCTGACTGGTCTCAATTTTATAACCGTTTTTATGACCATCATTAAGCAGGTCACCAAAGTTGTTACGCAAACCATGTGTTCATAAAGCGAATGATATGTTCATAAGTGTGAATCCATTTTATCTAATTAGTGTTTTTTGCCATAAAATTGCAAAAGAGGACAAGTCGTAAGTAACTTTTTTCAATTATGTCACGTATGTTAAACGACCAGTTTTAAGTCAAGGACTATCTATGCCAGGCTTTTTCTTTAAATCACAATGTTGAAGGAACAACCTCAGTACATTCCTGATAGTCCAGTTTACTGAGCCACCACATTTAAATGTAGTCCATATATTTGGCTGGTACAGTATATATTGCAGGGATGAGGATAATGTTATCCATTCAGTCGTGTCCAACTCTTGGAAATTCTGTGGGCCAGGTTCTCCACATCTTCCAGTCTTGCACTGCTTCTTTGAGTTGTTCGGTGTCCTGGCTGGTGTCAGCTTTGAAAGTATATTGCAGTGATGAGAAGGCAGTTCTCAGATATCATGACACTAAAATCCTAAATAAAATATAAATCATCATGGGCCTCCCAAACTTTCTTTTCTGGTCAGTAGAGTTCCTTCCACCCATATAGAAGTCAGAAAAACTGTAGGATGAACATTAAGATAAGTTTAATAAAGTTATTCAAACAAAAGGAAAACAATACTGTCCCAAAAAATTGAAGGGCAAAAAAACTAGAGAATACTTGCCCCCATGTTTACCTCAATGTTAGCTTCTAATAGCTCTATTTTAGGGAACATAGCAATAGCACTTAGACTTATATACCACTTCATAATGCTTTCCAGCTGTCTCTAAGCAGTTTACAGAATCAGTATATTGTCCCCAACAAACTCTGTCCTCATTTTATCAAACTTGAAGGATGGAAGGCTGAGTCAACCTTGAGCCAGTCAGAATCGAACTCCTGGAATGAGCAGTGAGTTAGCCTGCAGTAATGCTTTCTAACCACTGGGCCACCACGCCTCTTTAATACATGCACATAAGTAAGTAACAGTAATGTTACTTGTTCTGACCCCCCCCCCTTGACGGCTCGTTAACAAACGCAGGCAAAACTTAAAAGGAAGGCTTTTCTTTATCAGTTTTCAGTTCAAACTGGCTTCGAGCCCAGAACATAACATAAACACAAAACTCCGATAAGAATTCCAAAACAAAAGCTCTTACAAACTCGGCAGTTCTTTCGCAGTCTTCACAGATCAGATTTACATGAAAACACCAAAGCATTTATCCAAATGGAACAGGCATAATCACGAGTAATAAGCAAGCAATATTGTACCAGACACGGAACAAACGAAGAAGGAACGTATGTTGACTCCAGCAACTGGGGCGTGGCAGCATCCCTCCTTTTATCTCCAAACTTGCCTCAAACCACTCCCAGCTGCCTAATGACTCTTGCTCCCGAAAGAACTCTCAGCAAAACTGCTGAGTCACAACAGTTACTTATATGACAATAGGTCTCAAATCAGCTTACAATAAAAATTAACCCAAATAGAAGAATTAGAGACATTTTTTTAAAAATGTTTAAAAAAATTTTTTAGCATTTCTTTTATTTGGATTAATGTTATGGTAAGCTGGTCCGAGACCTGGTTTTTATATAAGTAATGTTCATAAGTAAGAAATAATAAAACTGTAGAATAAATATCTCTTTAATCAATTTTTTTTAAAAAAATTAGAACACATGAGTAAAACAATTTATTTAATTTGTCAGAACCCAATTTACTGAGTGGCACAGCTCATAGTGTGAACAAGCGTGGTGTAAAGAGACGAGATCTTGATATCGAGGAATTAAAAGAAATCCTTTCCCCTCTCTTACCGTTCGTCCGCATTGAGCACATCCTGCCTATGAACAGTGAAGTACTGACAGATTCGGTAAGTATATTTTAAAGTTTCCTTTGAATCCTGCTTCAGCTTTTTATGCTGCTGTCCATGAGAAAAGTACATAAAAAAATGGGCCAGGAAGAGTCCAATCAGGTTCAGGGGCTTGTTTCTTTGGTAATATCCAACTGATCACCAAAACACCACCAAAGAACAGATTTCTTGCCCCTGACTTAGGTCATCATTATATAAAATTTATTGTGCTTTTGGAAAGTTTGGGGGTACTTGCTCCGATTCTTCAGTCAATTGTTTGTTTTCAATTTGGTTTGAGTACAGTTCAGTTATTCCTTACTGGTGACTCTCATCAGGTTGTAAATTGGTTTGCTGTTTTATACTTAAAAATAATTGTTACCTTTCTGATGTGATGTTTTCTTTTAAAGATGAAAAGAGGTCTCATTAGTACACCTCCTTCAGACATGCTGCCAACAGCAGAAGGTGGAAAGTCAAATGTGTGGCTGCGACAAAAAAATGCTGGAATTTATGTGAGGCCGAGGCTGTTCTCACCGTATGTGGAGGAGGCTAAGGTAAAATGAAGTATTAATGCTGCCGACCATCTCAAAAAGCTTTCAGTTATCCAGCCGGCCATGTAAGCGGGTCATCTGTTCTATATTCAGAATGATATTTAAAAAGTATTATGAGTTTGAAGTGCAAAAGTGCTTAAGATGACTTTGAAACCTGTAACAGACATCTGCAGGCAGACATCAGTATTTCCGAATGCTAAGCCTTCCTTTTTTCCATGTTCTCACCCTGGATTCACTAAGGATTCTTTGCAGTATATGACTATCTGATAAATTAGAGCAGGGGTATCAAACTCAATTTCATTGAGGGTGCATCAGGGTTGTGTTTGACCTTGGAGGGCTGTGTGTGTGTGTGGCTGGGATGGTGGTGACAAGGGACCTGCATTGGGGGCACCTTTGGTGGCCGAGTATTAAGGCATAATTCCCTGAGACCCTCCCTCATTCATTATAATCTCTTTCCTTCTTTCCTTCTCTTCTTTTTCCTTCCCTCCTCTTTTTCCTTCTTTCTTCCTTCCCCTCTTTCCTTAGTTTACCTTCCTTGCTCTCTCCCCATCTTCTTTTTCTTTCCTCTTTTCTTTTCTCCTTTTCTGTCCCTTCTTGCATGCTCAAATGCAAAAGAGGAAACATTTCTCTTTTTGTTTTTAGTTTGTTTTGATAGCCCTCTGCCAGCAAAAATGGAGCTTGGGGGAGCCACCCTGCCGAGCTCCGTTTTCACTGGCAGAGGGATTTAGGAAGCCACCCAGGCTGAAAATAGGGTGCAGGGGTGGCACATATGCTTCCCTCAAGCTCCATTTTCACTAGCAAGGGCACTGCAGGCCCGTCCTTTGCTGTTTCCAGGCTGGCCACATGGGCCAGATTTAAGCACCCAGCGGGCCTTGAGTTTGACACCTCTGAATTAGAAGGTAGACAAGCTTCCATCTCCTTTGGTGTTTCCAAAAGAACAGGATTTCAGATCTTTTCTTCCATGCAATTACCCTGCTGAACACACTGGAAAGATTGATTTGATTTCTCTGAGCATGTACCTTCCTATTCACCCCATACACATGTACACATTTGCAGAAACCTTCCAGCTTGTTTAGACGGAGGAAGGCATCCTCTTCCTAAATAGAACTGAGCCATGACTGTCAGCCTCCTTCTGTGTCTGGAGGAAGGGACCATGTGCTTCCCTTTACAAGAGAAAGGATGGCAGAAGAAAGCAGGAACAACTGCACACTTTATCCCTCTCTGTGGAAGTCTTCCTCTATGGAACCATTTCAAGAAGAAAGCTTTCCCGCCAGGGGTGAAATCCAACAGGTTCTGACAGGTTCTGGAGAACTGGTAGCGGAAAGTTTGAGTAGTTTGGAGAACCAGCAAATGCCACCTCTGATTGGCCTCAGAGTGGGGTGGGAATAGAGATTTTTCAGTATCCGTCCCCTGCCACGCCCACCAAGACACACCACGCCCACCAAAACATGCCTACAGGACTGGTAGTAAAAAAATTTGAACTTCACCACTGCTTCCCGCCCACCAGAGGTGTGAGGAGAAAAAAATCCAGATTTTCGATGCGATTCAGTTTTCCCAGAATGTCATACAGTGTGAAATTTGATTTTGTTTTCTGTTTGTTAGTACTTATACAAGACAGATTGCGCTGTAATGCAAATTTTGTATGAAGAATATTTTTTTTTCACCCTTGTTTTTTGTATGATGAAATCCTTTGGTATTTTTGGTTATCAGCAACATTTCAGATGATATGCAGGTGACCTTGTGTTTGTAAGATTGATGAATTAAGACCCATATTAGCAAAGTAGCTTCTTTGAATATCAATGAGCCCATTAAAAGTCATCTGAATGGTTAACATGAAAAAAAAAGAATTAGTGAGTCATAAGAGTAGAAGCTGCCCATATTTAATTTAAATGTATACAATTATCTTTAAAGGAAAGAAAAGTTTATTTCTTGAAAACGTAAGATTCTATTATCTATTTTATCTACCATTATATGGTCCTTTAAAAAAAAAAAGAATGCTATATCTAGTACAGATAGTCCTTGATGTACAACAGTTCATGTAGTGACCGTTCAAAGCTACAACAGCACTGAAAAAGTGACTTATGACCATTTTTCACACTTACATGGTTATGTAATTAAAATTCAGACACTTGGCAACTGGCTCATATTTATGACGGTTGCAGTGTCCCGGGGTCATATGATCCACTTTTGTGACCTTCTGACAACCAAAGTCAATGAGGAAGCCAGATTCACTTAACAACCGGGTTACTTGTCTTATCAACTGCAGTGATTCACTTTTAACAGCTGTGGCAAGAAAGGTTGTAAAATGGGCCAAAATTCACTTAGCAACAGAAATTCTGGCCTCAGTTGTGGTTGTTAGTTAAGGACTACCTGTATTTACTACTTTTTTTATTTCAGTACATTTCTTTTACCTTTGTTCTTTCAGTCACTTCTGGATGAGATGATGGTGGAGCAGACGGACCTTGTCCGTTTACGGATGGTTAGAATGTCCAATGTGCCAGATACCCTCTACATGGTAAACAATGCTGTTCCACAGTGCTGTCATATGATAAATCACCAGCAAATGTCCAGTAATCAGTCCAGTCCTCCTTCAGTTGTAGCCAATGAAATTCCAGGTATGTTTCTAAGCCAATTCATAAATACATCGTTCTTGGTTGTGAAATTCTTTAACACTGAAATACCAGGGTTTCATGAAAAAATAAAAACAGGAGGACGAGTGTATGATAATTAATATAGGGTCATAATACCCTGGTAATTTTTAATAGGGAATTTCTAGATCTCTTCACTTCAAAGAAAAGCAAAAAAAAAGTGGAAATTTTGTACTGCACAGGTGGAATATTGACAGATTCCACTGTGAGTATGTCAATAGAAAAAAAAAATTCTCCCTTTTTCCCATTTCTGTAAGTTAGACAGAAATAAAATGCATTAGTTCATCCATGATGTGTGCTTGCATAATACATACATTCATATTAGTTTGGTATTTTTGATTAACGTAAGACTAACTTTAAAAATACACACATTTCTTCATAATCAAAAAAGAATGTGGTGGATTTTTATGTTTGGCATAATATATTTGTATTAAGTACCACAGAGACTGTTGATATAAACAAGATGAAGGCATGGTCGCTTCAAGTTTGGAATACAGAATGTGTATCAGAACAGGCATGAATAGTGGACAGTGTTCAAAGGTTCTTGTGATGCCAGAAATTCTTCTGGGCATTCTTCATTTAAAGTTTATGCATAAGAGGAAGACTTTTATAAAACAGCCCTCCAAATGCCGACCTTCATTGAAGCTAATCCAAGAACTAAGCTTAAATGAACTGCCAAAAGTGAATTTCAGGCGGACAAGTCTGGTACCAGCGCTCAAGAATTAGTTTTTTTGTCAGCTGCCAGTATTTTGTTGGAAGTACAGAGGTATCTGGTCCTGTTCCTTGCTTTGCCAGTCACAGCAATCCATCAGTGGTAAGAAAGAAGAAAACGGCATGCCCAGATTTGGCTAGAAAACTTGCTTTTTTATAACCCATATTCTACCTCGTGCAGAAAAATCCTTGGGAGTTGTATGTAACATAAAAGCTGAGCTGCATAGGTGCTACAGTTATTTTGGTGTTATCATCAAGAAAATTGTTGTTGAACACAAAGGGTCAACCCTTGAAATTAATTCCAGTCACTGGATAGTTTAATATTTGGTACAGGATTTTATGCTTATCAACTGGTGATGATCAGCCTTGATCAGTGACCGGCATCATTGAAGACACTGAGCCAAGCTGTGTAATCTGGATGATTGCACTTGTAAGGACAAATAAATTGGTGTTCAGGTGACTTTGAAAGCTTTGGGGGAGAAAAGGCCACAGTGGTCAACATTGATTCATGAAAATCAGTGGTTCCCAAACTTGGCAACTTTAAGACTTGTGGACTTCAACTCCTAGAATTCTCCAGCCAGCTCTGTCTTAAAGTTGCCAAGTTTGGGAACCACTGATGAAGATGAATGAAGCTGGGATATTTCGGAAGGTTTTTCTTTACCTTTTTTGGGAGGGGTGGTGGTAGTTGGATCCTTTTAAAAAAAAATTAGAAAGCTTGTTTGTTTTACATGGCCATTTTCATTTATTTCCCGATCCAAAATGACCCCAAAAATATGCAATCAAAGAGGAAATTTCTAGAAATTAAATAAGAGCCATATTTGGAAGCTGCAACAAAACCCTGTTAAAAATTACCTTACAATGTATTTAAGGGACAAAATCAAATGATGCTATTGATGATCTCATTTTTAGCTGGAAAACTTTTTCTTCCTGTACATTACTTAGAAATAGAAATTTTTATTTACGCTCAACGACCAACCAAGTATTTAGGAATAGTCATATCTAGCTTTTATACTTTGGTTTTCATAATGTGGGATTTTTAAAGGCTGGAAATTGCCCACTAATTCATTTGGAGTGAGATTCTAATAGCATATAAAACAGATGCTTCACTATGCACAACATCTTGTGCTTAGAAATTTGACAAAATATTAATCTAAACACAATATTGAAAAACTACTCCGAAGTGTGGAATTTTGTTGTCTGATGTGTATTTTTTCTGACCAATACAGTGCTCTTGGATTGGGTTGTTTTCTATTCTTCATTTTGTTTTTCAACATAAAAAATTTGAAATAAACATACATAGTTTTTTTTTCTTTTTACTTTCTAGGAAAATCTTACCTTCCATTTTCTAGGAAAATGATTGAAAAAATCCTGAAAGTCTAAATGAATGCTATAGGCAGTAAACAAATTTGTATGTTCTCATGTGCGCTGCTTGGAGAGTCCAAGCATGGGTTAAATTAGTCTGGTTACCCGACTGAGATAATCATTTTCTTTAACCACGCCTCCTGGTCCTTCTTAATGCCAGATTTTTTCCTCATTCTGCCCCGTTAAGGACTATTTTTATGAGCTCCAGCCACTAGTTTAATACTAGTTGGACTCTCCTTTGTTTAGCAGTTTTTTTCTGTTTCTATTTTAGCCCTATGTTTTTATCTTGGCTTTTTCTTTTTTCCCACAAATTTTATTTTTGTCCTCACTTCTCTCGAATTGTCAATTGAGGTAGGAGCAGATATGAGGGGTGCTCTACCTGCCGCGCCACTTGCGGTGAGCGGCAGAGATCCCTGGGGCTTTGTTATCTCTCAGAACAGTGGCGGAGTTCTCGGCGGCTGCTGGAAGCTGTCAGCGGTTGTTTTCTGGACTTTTGTGTGCTGCCAACCCGTGGAGAAATATTTGGCCATTTTTGAAAGTCGTGGCCGCCATTTTCTCCTCCACCCCCACACCAGAGCAGTGGCCATTTTGTCAGCTCGTTTTTTCGCACGCTTTTCAAGCTTGCCTGTTCCACTGTACATTCCTTCACAGATCGCTGCTGAGTGGCCAGCTGACCCTTTTCGGGGCTGCGTCAGGGTTGCTGCCACTCACTCTTCATCGTCGGGCAGCGCTGGTGTCTTTGGTCAACTCGCAGTCATACACTGATACACAGAGGGTTGATTCCATTTTCGGCCCTCTGTGAGTGATCTGTCAGACTGCGCAACCTCCCTGGTTCACAAACCCTTGGGCTCTTCTTCTCTCAACTGACTGAAGGCTGCAGAAAAGAGGCCCCCACAGCGATCATCTCCGGCTGACTGATGTCTTTGCAGTCTTCGAAACTTCATGTGCAGTTGAGATGGCTAAAGCTTCAGAAGCAGTAGATCTGGAGCAGCCAGGCCCCTCCACCTGCTACAACGGTAGACCAGATGCCTCCCGGGCCCCTAATCAGGCCAAGGCCACAGGCAAAGACAAGAAGGCCAGGAAGGGCAGGGGACAGGAAAGGGAAGTCATCCCTACCAATCATCCTTGGCTGCGGATAGGGATGCTGAGTGTCATCAGCGGGCCCTCGAAGAGCCATTTGAGAAGGCCCAGCACCAGGCCAGGCAGGCCAACCAGCAGGCCACCATGCAGGGTGAGTCATCCCTTCCCCTGTCTCCCATTGGGGACCCCCTGTGGGTCATTGAGGAGGAGATAGAGTCTGAGGGTTTGTCTCCTGACATTTCCCTGGTGGATCCCAGTTCCCCCGTGCCTTCCTCTGTATCCGAACCTGACCCAATGGAAACAGATGAGCGCAGCCTCATGGGGGGGGGACCCTCTTCCTCCAGATCCAAGGGAGGGAATAGGCCCAGAGAAGACCAGGAGCCTGAACTGTTAGCCTAAATGCAGGTGGTTATCACCCATGCCATCTCCCATGGCATAGCCAAGAGGCTCCAGAAGAGGGATCAGGTCCCAGATAAATCAACCCCATCTGGATCCAGGAAGGAAGGGTCCGGCACTAGCCGGAGGGTACGCCATCCTTCTCTGGAATCTTCTGTGGTCAGTGAGGTCTCTGGGAGGACCCAGAGGAGCAGGAGCAGAAGCTTTCGGAGGACGGACCTTCCTCCAGATACACCTGCCTTCTCCAAGCTCTTCAAGTCTACCCTATTTAAATCTATCTTGCACAAGGTAAAGGTCATTACCCAGTTGGGTACTAAACCCCAAGCAGGCCAGAGTTCCTCAGACTCAACCGCCTCCAACCCTAACGATAGCATGTTTAAGATGCAAGCCCCTCCATGGAACTTGTTCCCATTCCCAGTCTTTTCATCAACAGTGTTCAGCGGCAGTGGGTCCAGCCTGGTTCCCTCGCCGCACTCAGTGGTGGAACAAGAAGCTATATTCTGTGGAATCAAATCTAGAGGACATCTTGGCCTTACCCTTGCTAGACCCCTGGATAGCAGCTCTTACTTCCAACTCTATTCTGCCAGCAGACCTAATGGAGGGTCTGAAGGTGGAAGATAAGAAGGCGGAGAAGACTTGCCACAAAACACATCAAGCGGCAGCCTGGGCCATTAAGTCTTCTTTTTCCACATCTTTCTTTAATAGGGCTTCCATTATTTGGCTGCATGAACTACAGTCTAAACTTCCAGCAGGTAACGCACATCTCTGTCAGGACAGGACCAAAATCATAGCAGCAGTTCAGTAGTCGGCCAACGCCTCGCTTAACGAAATTTGCTTCCAGGGTGCTAGCATCTAAAGTAACATCTAAGCTCCTTTTTTGGCTTTCTCATTGGCAGGCTGATATGAAATCAAAGTGGAAGCTTGCCTCCGCTCCCTTCAAAGGGACCAAACTGTTTGGAGAGGCCTTAGACCCCATCTTAGTTGAATCTAAGGACAAGCAGAAGGTCCTCCCTATCCTGAATAAAAAGCAGGATCGCAAGTCCACTCCCTACTTTAGGAGGCAGTCCTTTCGTGCAAACAAATCCTCGTTCAGCTCCTCCATGTTCTACAGACCATTCACTCAATCATTTGACAGGTCCCAAGACAAGAAGTCCTTTCGGGATAGGGGTAGGCAGCAATACAAGTACTGCAGACCAACCATGTCAGAGCCTTTCACAGGCCTTTCTACAAAACCAAGTGACCCTCAGGGAGCACCTCCGATTGTGGGAGGACTACAACTTTTGGTCTCCCAATGGGAACGGATGGAGGACTCCTGGGTCTTACATATCGAGAGGGAAAAACTCTCCCTGGAGTTCATCTCCCATCCCTCGAGGAATTTCATCTGCTGTCCCACCCCTCTTGTCCAACCAAGAGAGAGCTCGTGCCAGGTGATCCATCCTTTTCTGGAGATCAGTGCCATAGAGCAGGTACCAGCCAATCAGGAGCAGAAGGGATTTTATTCCATTCTTTTCCTGGTACCCAAGAGCTCTGGGGGGTGGAGGGCAATCCTGGACCTGAAGAACCTCAACTTCCATCTCACATACAGGAGGTTCAAAATGCAATCCCTGCAAACCATCCTAGCAGGGATTCATCAGGGGGAACTCCTCACCTCCATAGACCTAAAAGAAGCATACCTACACATCCCAATTTGGCCACAGCAGCAAAGGTTCCTGTGGTTCTTCTATGCGGGCCGACACTATCAGTACAGGGCCCTTTCATTTGGCCTGTCGTCGGCCCCCAGGACCTTCACCAAAATTCTTTCAGTCCCAGGCGCAGACCCACAAGGCTCCAATGTTACCTGGATGACATCTTAATTCAGTCGTCGCCAGGAAACAAGCCTTGTGGGATCTCCAGGTCACCATGAGTTCCCTTCAGAACCACGGGTTCTCTGTGAACCTGGAGAAAAGTCACCTCACACCAACCACCAGGCTCCTCCACCTGGCAGCAGTAATAGACACCTCAATCTGCAAGGTGTTTCTCTCCCAAAACAGGATAGACAGCCTAGGTACCCTAGTCCACAAGGTGTAGGGGTTGAGGCAGATCCCTGTGCTGCTCCTCTTGCAGTTATTAGGGAAGATGATCTTGTGCATCTTGGTAGTTCCGTGAGCACAACTCCACTCATGGGAGTTGCAGTGATTGCTCCTGCCTCATCAGAGAGCCAACAGAAGCAACTCCACAATGACGGTCCAAGTTCCACTGAAGGTGAAGAGGTCCCTCCAGTGGTGGTGATCATCGGCCGTGCTTAAAGGACACCTCTTCAAAGGGCCAATGTGAGTAATCATCACAATGGACGCCAGCTGAATAGGCTGGGGTGCCCACATTGGTCAACACATGACACAGAGCAGGTGGTCCCCAGCTGAAGCAGCTTGCAACATCAACTGGCTAGAACTGAGGGCAGCGAGACTTGTCCTATGTCACTTCCAGCAGGACATTCAATGCCAACATGTACTATTGATGATGGACAATGTGGCCACCAAGGCACACATAAACCGACAGGGTGGCACGAGAATCAGGAATCTCATGGCGGAAGCACATCAAATTCATCCGAGCTGATCACATCTCAGGGGTGGACAACACCCAGGCAGACTGGTTGAGAAGGTCCACCATAGACAATGCAGAATCCATAGACAATGCAGAATGGCGTCTACACCCAGCCCTGTTCCACCAGTTGTCACAGAGATTTGGCACCCCCGTGATCGACCTGTTTGCCACCCAGGGAACACGTAACTACATCACTTCTTCTCCCGCTTTCACTCATGGTATGCATCACGGCAGCGTATGAGCACCAAGCTAAAGCAGTTCCTCGCCATATCACCACTCACTCTATGAGGAGCGCAGGCACCACCGCTGCCTGGGCAACCAGGCAACAATAGATGACATCTGCAGAGCGGCAATGTGGTCGTCCCCATCACCCTTTGTCAGAAACTATAAATTGGACATGTTTGCCTCAGCCGAGGCATCGTTCGGCAGGCGAGTCCTGCAGGGCTTTGTTTCCATGACCAAATCCCTGGGCAGACCTTCTTCCCTCTCTAGTGACAATTAACTTGGGTATGTCCCATGCTTGGACTCTCCAAGCAGTGCACAGGAGAATGACCATTGGTCCTTCAGGCACTGAGGGAGAGTCCAACCCCGCCCAGAGTCTTCGGGTCCAGGGTTTCGGGGCCATCAAATCGACTCCGGTTTTTTTCATCGCATTATCATCCTTTTTCGGTTCCAGAACTTAGCTCACAAAAATAGTCCTTAACGGGCCAGAATGAGGAAAAAATCTGGCATTAAGAAGGACCAGGAGGCATGGTTAAAGAAAATGATTACCTCAGTCCTTGGGCAGCCAGACTAATTTAACCCATGCTTGGACTCTCCCGCAGTGCACAGAGAAGGACCCTTCAGGTAAGCCAATGGTCAATTTCAGCAAGCCTTTGAAAGTGGTACATTAAACGAAAATATTTCACAGTTGAAGTTGATGTTAACCATAGCAGTTGCTGAAAGAGAGAATGTACTTCTGGAAGGAGCAAAACAGAGGAACAGGGACCATATTTAATGGTCTAATTTAATGGAAAGAAGGACTAGGGATAACATGGTAGCATGTTCCAGTATATGAGGGGTTGCCACAAAGAGGAGAGAGTCAACCTATTCTCGAAAGCACCTGAAGGCAGGACAAGAAGCAATGAATGGAAAGTAATCAAGGAGAGAAGCAACCTTGAACTAAGGAGAATTTTTTCTGACAATTAGAATAATTAATCAGAGGATGACTTTCCTACAGAAGTTGTGGGTACACCATACGTTTTTAAGAAGATATTGGACTACCATTTGTCTGAAATGGTAGAGAGTTTCCTACCTGAGCAAGAGAAGACCTCCAGGGTCCCTTCCAAATCTTTTATTCTGTTATTCATATTGGCTAAGCTAATGGAAAGAGGTAGAGTATGCTCAGAATGAAAGTTCCCCTGTACATATGTACTAGTCGTTCCTGACTCTAGGGGACGGTGCTCATCTCCGTTTCAAAGCCGAAGACTGTCCGAAGATTTTTCCGTGGACATGTGGCCAGCATGACTAAATGTCAAAGGTGCATGGAGCACTGTTACCCTCCCACCAAAGGTGGTCCCTATTTTTCTACTTGCATTTTTTACATGCTTTCAAACTGCTAGGTTGGCAGAAGCTGGGATAAGTAATGGGAACTCACGGCATTATGCGGTGCTAGGGATTCGAACCACTGAACTGCTGACCTTCTGATTGACAAGCTTAGTATCTTAGCCACTGAGCCACTGAATCTCTTTGGAAAATATTAGTAGGGAAATACTGTAAAAGGAGTTAGATTTCCTTAGTTTTACCAGCAGCTAGATTGCATAGCATTAGATAGGATTCCCACATGTGCTGCAGAGTGCCTGCCAACCCAGAGAGCAAATTTGAAAATACTTGGCAGGATGGGAAGTGTTGATGATCCATTTTGCATAAAGAGCATCCAGGAAAGATAACAGAATAACAGAGTTCAGGCAGGAAACCCTATACCACTTCAGACAAATGGTTGTCCAATCTCTTCTTAAAAACTTCCAATATTGGAGCATCCACAACTTCTGATTAATTATTCTGTCAGGAAATTTCTCCTTGATTCTAGGTTGCTTCTCTCCTTGATTATTTTCCATCCATTGCTTCTTATCCTGCCTTCGGTTGCTTATAGTGAATTCAGGTGGGAAAACTGATCTAAATGGTATCGTTTTCACTGGATTCACAATAAGGTGGAAATGAAGGAAATTCATCTGTACTGTCCTCTGTCCAACTTTGTAGCTCGAGTCATTATTGCATTGATCTTGCTGACACTTGTCTTTCTGATCAATTGCTTTTGGACAAGTTCTTTCTTAAGTGTAAATATCAATCTTGCTAAACTTGGGCTCTGTTGAAACTCATTACAAGGATGCAGGACTAATTTCAGTTCGGATTGTTTTCTGCTTCTCTTTTCTCAGTTCCTCGTCTCTCTGTTGTTAAAGAAATGGTCAGACGGCTGCAGGAGCTCCGCCATACTGAGCAAGTTCAGCGAGCTTATGCTCTGAACTGTGGAGAAGGCGCCACAGTCAGTTATGAGATTCAGATCCGTGTATTGAGGGAGTTTGGACTTTCTGATTCTGCTGCTGAGTTGCTGCAGGTATGAAGCGATGAACACAGCATGCAAGCAGGCTGGTCTGCTTCTTTTTTTAAGTGTTTTAGAACCTGCATGCATTCAAAGTCAGATGTAACCAGCATGTGTAAAAAGTGTTGAAGAAGTGAGCACGTTCATTGACGGAGGAAAGCTTAAAGGACATGTTGCAGTTACATATTGTAATGTAAAAAAAGAATAGGTCAAATTAATTTGTTTCTAACTGATAGACAGGAAAGTATTCCCGTTGCTCCTTTATGCTGCTCTATTCTAAATGTGAGTTATCTTCCGTGCATAACGATGAGAAGGCTTAATAAAAATCACAGCTTTCTAAAGCTTTTGATTGAAATATGCTGATAAAAAGATGGTAAGATCCTGAGACTAAAGCCTATACAGAGCCCCACCCTATGGTGATCTACAGGATGTAAATTTATATAGTTTTATGCTTAGGAGCAGTGGTGGGATTCAGCAGGTTCGCACCACATCGGGAGAACCAGTCATTAACTTTCTGAGCAGTTTGGTGAACTGGTTATTGGAACAAATCATCAGGGCAGAGAACTGGTCCTTAAATTATTTGAATCCCATCACTGCTTAAGATGGAACAGGAAGAATTACTGTATTTTGCCCACATAGGCTCTGTAATTAGATACTTATATAGATCCCATTGTGCTGGCACGTTATGTTTGTTTTGCCCAGGCAAAGACATTGTAATGCAAACCTCTTGTGTTTCCATATTGTTGGCATGGAGGAAAAAGTACAACCGACCATTTATCTGTATTAGTAGAAGTGTTGCATTTCTTGTCCCAAAGGTGCTTTTTCAAGAGGCAAATGGACTTTCTGGTTTTTCTTTGAAGACGTTTCACTTCTCATCCAAGAAGCTTCTTCAGAAAAAACACCTTTGGGACAACCCTGACCTGGATGACTGAGAATCTCCATAGACATGTTGCATTTCTTGTTCTGTCTTTCTGCTGCAGAATCCTCACAAGTTCTTCCCCGACGAGCACTTTGGAGACGAAAGCCCGCTTCTGACCCTCAGACAGTCAGGCCGATGTCGTGTGAACAGCACGCCCACTGCAGAAACAGTGTTTACAGACCTGGATTCTTTTGTGGCCTTCCATCCTCCACTCCCTCCTCCCCCTCCTCCTTACCATCCACCAGCGACTCCAGTTCACAGTCAGTTCAAAGTTGGATGGAAGCAAAGAACCCAGAGCCAGCACCCCTCCCGTTCTTTTTCTTACCCTTGTAACCATTCACTCTTCCATGCCAGAACAGCCCCCAAACCTGTCCTACCCAATTATTTCTCCAGCGTGAAAGGCACACCTCCAGACTGCACTAACACCACAGGACTGGGAAGACAGACAGTTGCAGCTGCAGCAGCTGTGGTGGCTGCTGAAAAGCAAGTGGTAAGAGTGCCTTTTTTAATGCACACAATACCTTTTTTAAAATTTAAGGGGTTTTATTAAGTTGTATATATTTTTAATCTGTTTGTAAGTTGCCCAGAGTCATAAGGGGAGGCAGGAAATGTTGCTGGTCTAGGGAGATACACCTGGTGGGACCCAGAAGAAGAGCCTTCTCTGTGGTGGCCCCCTCTCTCTGGAACATCATCCCCCCCCAGAGATTAGAATGGCCCCCACTCTAACACTCTTCCGGAAGGCACCGAAGACCTGATTCTGCCAGCGGGCCTTGGGAACCCAGAGCAGGATGGAGCCCATTAAATGACTTGTGTGGGGTGCTGTCGCCAGGGTGGGGATGATTTTATTATATTAATTTATTATATGAATTTATTATATGTTTTATTAGTTTTATTGTTTTTATATGAGACTGTATATTCTATAAGCCTCCTTGACTTGCGATGTCTGAATAGGCGGCAATATAAATTCCCTAAATTAAAAGAAAAATGAAATGGATGGTTATATAAAGTGGATAAATAAATATATCAGCATTAATTTACTACTGCAGGGTGCTGTGAATAAGACTTGGCATTTTACGTTTACCATTATAGCTGTTGAAAGTGGAGCAGGCTTCATTTTGGAAACGTTGATTGTGATCAAGCACTGTGGCATCGAACTGTTCTACAAGAAATCATACAAGCTGTTGTATAATTTCCCTAAGGTCTAAGTTGATAACAAATAACTCTAACAAGCCCTCCAGATAGATAGATTTATGTGACAAAGCAGATGGGTTTAATCAATTGACTCAAGCTCTTGCCAGTGAAGATGCCAAGATTGCTAGGTAGCATTAATG